GGGGGGCATGTGCCCCCACAGCGACCAATCTCACCTACTGGGGGGAGGGGAGGGGGGTCCCCCTGCGGCAAAATTCACTGACCAGGAAGCGGCTGTGGTGCTACATCCGGCACTCCCATTCCTTGGCCAGCGTCCACAAGGGGGGAACCAGTGCTCCCGCCTGCCTGCCCTGCCCATTGCCTAAGTGGGGAGCACTGCTGGTCAGGGGGTGCACCAGTGCTCTCAGGGGGTGTACCCCCATGCACCCCCTACGCGTCACCACTGTGGAAATCCTTGCTCAAACCTGATTTTGACTCATGCCTCTGGCCTTGACTTCTGACTCTGACTCCCCAGTCCTGACTTTGGCTTCTGCTTTGACTTTGTAATCCTGGCCTTGCCTTCTGACTCAGGTTCTTCAACCCTGCCTCTGGCCGTTGGACTCTGATCCTGGCTTCTTGACCCTGTGCTCACCACCCAGGTGACTTACTACAACTGCCTATGCCCTGGTTTGTTATAGCTAGAAGGCATGCTTGCAGTACAAAGTAGCCATGCCAGCAGTTCTGCTTATCACCTGATAGATCCTGGCAAAGATAAAGCCTTGCTATGGAGATGGAACCTGAACCATCTTTTAACTGTATCCTCCACTTGTGATAAGATATCCTCACTAGGTGTTCTGATAGGTTTACAAACTATTGTAGTATCATAGGGGAGAAATAGGATCATAAACATAGCCTAAACTTCCTGTGAAACCATTGAAAATGATTGAACAAATCACTTAGTCCCCTCTGTGCCTCTGTTCCTCATTTATAAAACAGAGCTAGAAAAAGGGATGGGGAAAACTAGTATCACTGCCTTGTGTAGCTTACCTGTAACTTCTTTGAAGTGGGGATTATATTTTACTAAGTGTATGTACAGCCCCTAGCAGAATGGGGGCCCTGATCTCTGTTGGACTCTTTTGGTGCTTCTGGGTACATCTACAGGAGATGCGTTACTGTGCATTAGACTAATCTAATGCACAGTAAAGTGTCACTGTCTACATGTGCACAGCAATTACTATGCAGTAGATTAGTATAATGCACCATTTTCTAGTAGATACAGATACTAGAAATTGGTGCGTTAAAATAATGTGCCAAAGTGTACTTGTAGATGGTGACCAGGATCAAATTGCTCCCAGCCAGCCTAGGCAGCAGGAGGCCACAGGGGGTGGGGAGAGGCCTTGATCTTCACATGGCTGGGAGACATATACCTGGCAGTATGGACAGTTCTCCCCTGCCCCATGGAGATAGGGATCAGCCCCTGTGCCCCTAGCATGGAGCTTTCCCTGGCTGATGCAGAGGAGTAGAACAGGACAGGAGCAGCCCTAGACTGAACTGCTCCCATTGGAGAAAATTTCCCCTTGATGGGTGCATGTTCAGATGCATGTGGGGCCACAGTTTAATTAACCTGAAGTTTTTTGTGCAGAAAATTCAGGCACATTAATTACACATGTAGACATGCCCTCTGTAAAGCAAATTAATATCAGTCTCTCCTATCCCTCCTCCCAACCTGCCCCCAAGGGATCCCTCTCTAATCTCTTCCATTATTTATTCTTGGACTCATGGACCAGGGGCATGAGACATGCCAATAAGTTTGGGGGAGGTGGTTAGCTCAGTCTCCTTCCTTGCTGTCTTTTTTTGTAGGATATCATTTTGATGCCTTGATTAAGAGATGCAGATAGTTGGAGATTTGCTTATTATCAGAACCCTCTGGTCAATGGTCTGAGTAAAAGAATACTGTAGCTAGATGCGGTAACTTTCCGGAATGCTTTTACTCCACTTCACAGTTTAGAAACAATAACAGCAACCAAAAAAACCCCCAAACCCTAATCATTTCATAAAAGAAAAAAGTAATTATTCTCTAAGTAGATTTAATTGCCAGAATCTCTCTCTAGAAAATGAGAACAACAATCTTTAATTATGATGACTGTAGGAGTGGTCTGAAGTCCCAGAACACTATCAAAAGCAGCTGCTCTCTCTCTCTGCAGCACTTCTTTTCTCATGTACTGCAGTTACAATAGTAGCCATTAAAAATATTAAATAGGAAAAGCAAGGTCTGATATGTCTGACTTTGCAAGGTTATGGGAGAGACCAACTCTATTAGCAACATCTTCCTGTAACAGACTATCACATGAAGAGGTGTCCTTTTATCACCTAATGCTTTATCCAGGCTGGAGCTGGGCTTTGTAAGGAGACCTTTTACAATGCTTTACTATTTGCCTGCCTTGAATTGTAAGAACAGGTTCTCAGCGCACACTAGGGGGCTTCAGTGTTCTGCTCTGCCCAGCAAGGATGGAAAAGCTGCTACTGAACTCACTGCAATTCACAGATGCCGTGACCAACCAGGGAGTCATTTGGCCCTTGGTGTAATATAAAGAGGCTTCAGGGTTCATCTAAGTTATGTCCAAGCAACAGTGCCCCCCAAATGACAAGCTACCAGACAGAGATGGCTGGACCACAGGGCTTTCTGGGCCATATGTTCTCTCTCACCAATGCCACTCCTCAATGTAGGCACTAAGCACAGAGAGTAGGATTAAACACAGCTTTCCACTAGTGGTCTTACCAATGCCATTTCCAGAGAAAGGATGCCCACCCTTGCTCTTCCCCTTTGCACATCTATGGACTACATCAGACCTCTAGTGACAGCATTGCTTTGGCAGCTGACTAATAGCTGGTTATTTGGTTGACTAAAAGCTGGTTATTCAATGGGACTCTCACTTTGTTTTTAGCCAGGGTATGACAGAAGGCCCCATCTTCCTGGACTTAAGGCACTTACAGAAGTTATATTTTTCATGTGATAAGGCCCCTGAAGGAGCTCTACAGCCATAACATAAATGTTCACAGCTGCAGAGAATTTTTAAAATGGTTGATTGCATGAAAAAATAACCCTCATTTAATCAGCTATTAGTTGAAGGCACTCCAGGACAGAGCACCTTAAGGGAATTGTGTATAGGTTCCCTGTGAGGGTTAATTTTGGGTGATTCTGCTCGCATCCCATGTGCCTTTGCAAGGCTGGATGGGTGCTCATGCAGACAGCCCAGTCCCATGCCCCTGAAGTTGCCACAGAGTCTCCTCCCTGTGCAGCTGGGAAAGGGAGGGGGTGGAGGAAGGTAATCCTGGCAACACGCTGATGCCGGGAGCTGGGGTGGGGATTCTGGCCTGGCCCCGGGCCAACAAGGCAGAGGGGCTCAGATTCCCCCTCCCCAGCTCCTAACACTACAGCCAGGCAGGGCTGCTGTCATCACGCTCCTGGTCTTGGCCAGTGCATAGAGGCAACAGTGCCTTCTCCCGCTTGGCTTCAGCCAGTGCATGGAGGCTCTGAGCCCCCACTATCAAATGCCAAACATCTCTTAATTTTGATCATGCTGTAACTTTAAGTGCTTTGTGTAAAGCACAAAAGTTACAGTAGGATCCAAAGTGCCTTTCAATCACTTGGGTAAGCACCCTTCATCTTGAATTTGAACTGAGCCTCTTAATCTTCCCTGGATCCCATTACCAAGGAAAGCCTTCCAGATTGACGTCAGGTTGAATTTCTGAGGGGCCTTGAAGGAAACTGTGAAATGTGTTCTGGTGCTCCAGCTGGACTGTGGCTGTGAACCAGTCACACCACAGCTAACCAGGCTCTCCTCTGAGTCGCAGCACTGAGCACCAGTGCCTCCTGGTTGGGGACACGTGATGACAGCAGGAGTTTCTTTAGGAAGTCATTAGAAAAGAAGACGATGAAATAAACTTACTAAACATGAGATGACACGAATGCCTCCCAGGTAAGCAAGGGGATCTGTAGGAAAATGGAAGCCACTTCAACCTGAAGTCCTGCACTGTTACTGACCTCTGAAGCACAAGAAGTTATTTCATAGGAATAGGTGGCCCAAGAGAACCGAGTAATGATGATGACTATGAAAAACTAATTGTACCAATCCTGGCCAGAAAAGAAACAGCAGCTGGACTAGGGCTGGAGGGTACACAAGGTTTCCCTGTGTTTTGCTGAGATCACAGCACAGAACACTGAGCTTGCGAAGCATCTGTGCTGCCTGCATGTAGGAACGTGAACCTAGGGGGTTAAAATATATCTTGACTGTATCTCTGAAGAAAAAGAAAGAGATGGGGAAGACAGGGCAGAGAGAAGACACCAGTAAAGGGGGCTTTCATTTAATTTATTCAGGTCCTAGTATTTGATTTAATGTGTATGGTTGTAAAAAAAAAAAAAAAGCAGAATGATGAAGGGGATCAGTCTCTGGGGTGTGTGTGGCATGCATGCAAAATCTTCTGGCTGAAAGCTAGCCTGGGGGGCTTGGAGGTGGAGCCTCTTAGGACAGATATTTGACTGGAGGACTGTATTGACATGCAAAGGTACATATTTAAGAGAGTGGGAGACTCCTCAGGTCTCCAGCATCCTAGCTTCTGTGTTGCTAGCACCTCAGCTGCCACATAATGAGAGGAGGAGGATGCATTTAATTACAGACAGTGGCATGCTATAGTTCCCTGCTAGAACTCACATTGGCAGGTAAAGGGAACAGAAGCTAGCCTTGCCTGTAAAGCAGCTCTAGAGGCACTCTAGTATTACTATAGGAAGCAAGGCAGACATGCTGTCTCCGAGTTAGTTACAGACAGTGGGGATGTACAAAATATCTTCCAGGCAGCACTGGCCATTTTCTCCCCCTCCCCTTCCCAAACACACATAGCTCTGGTGCTGTCTCTTTCTGGCATTTATTTCTGCGTGAGAAAAGGTGCATGGTGCCTGGGAAGAAAAAAAATAGCAAACCACTGGAGTGCACTTGGATTTCCTTACCCAGGATTAAAATAACTTGGCTTGCTGAGACAAGAGGGACATACCTGGGCAAATGTACTTTTTTCTGTTTGTGAGAAATTGCTTGGATGGCTTATTATTACTTTTAATCATTGAATCCATCTTTAATTTGGCACTGTTGCAACGACTTAGTTCAGGTTTGCCTTCTGCTTAGAAGTGGTACTGTTTCCCTCTTGACAATGCTTACTGAGAAGTGTTTGGGATTTGCTTACTCTGGCTTGTATCTCTGGGCATCTCTGTTCGTATCCTTCATTAAAGGTAAGTTCTGTTTTGCCTGTTTTTATAACAACACTCTGATTTCCCCCCTGCCCAAAATTCAGCTGTCTTTCCCTTTGGTTTAAACTTTTTCAGGGCAAATACTGGTCCCCTTGAAGTCAATGGAAGTTTTCAAAAGGATAAAAACTGTGACTAAGTTTTCACTGATTTCACACTTTGGGTGCCTTTACCTCTTATAAGGGAAAAAAATACAATTTTTATGAAAACAACAGTAATGTCACCCTTGGAATTTTAATAATTCTCAATGTTTTCAATTACTATTCTTTTCCTCTTATAAGAGGCTATGCCACTGTTATTTAATAGGAAGGAGATGTTTTAACTGATGACTCAATAGTATGCTTATTGGAACCTTATAAATGTAAGGAAAGAGAGCTAAGATTGTATTCAAATAGTAAAAAACTAAGGTTCGAAGGAAGTAAACAGTTTTGAAACTCCTATGCATAATTGTATTATAGTACATATAAAAGAGATTAACTATCTGATTCAGTATTTTTCTCCATTTTATTTTTATCTTTCATCTCATATAATATCAGTCTTTTCAGCCAGTGACAGGTACAAAGTTGTAAGTATCTATTCAAATAATGTGCAAATTTATTTAAGCATTAAATAATTTTAGATTCACTCTCTAACATTATTACACCATATTATTGAATTGTACAGAAATGTGTGATTCTTTTAGAAACTAATTCGTAAGGTAAGACTTGTGATAAAAAGGAGGAGAGCTAAAATTGTAAATATCCTAAGAAATATATAGTATCTGTATGAGAAGTTTTCTAATTCCTTTGCAAATGAACCTGGCTCATGCATAACACTTTGCATGCTTGTCCTAATTATTTTTGCCAACTGCCCTTGCTCTGAACACACTGAAAAATGTAGTATTCCCCTGAGCAGTGTTTTAGACCTATGGAACCATCTCATCAGTTTCCAGGCAGAAATCTTGGGGATTGCTACTTTACAACAAATTGACTGATATGACCCATACATTTTATATCAGACCTGTGTAGTAACTGGTTCCTAAATGATATAGCACTATATAGGACATGCTCCTTATTCCAGAATATTTTTTTACCAGTGGGCATATCTACACAAGATGCTAAATGCACAGTAGACCAATTCTAATGTGCATTAGCACGTCACAGCAAAAACCACACTAATATGCAATAGAATTAGTCTACTGCACATTAGCATCACTAAAAGACAGTGCACTGGCACTACTGCATGTTTAGTTATTGTTATTACAGATACTAAACTTAATGTGCTGTAACAATAGTGCATTAATGTATACATAGATATGTCCAGAGTGTTTGACTTTACAAAACATATATAAATTTAATTGAAGTGTGAGTAGTGGAACTAGGGGTAACATGGCAATAAGTGTTGCAGCTATGTACTTTACCATCCAGCTAGCACAAGAAGCCTGCTACTTTTTTTGCAAGACCCTGGTACGCTACTTAAAAGCACTGAACAAATGAGGCTGTGAGCTGGTTACTGAATAACACAATTTTTGCATCATTTCCACTGAGTCACTGAAGTGCTGTCCTGTTAAAAAACAGTAATTCCCCTAATGAATTAGTCATTACTTCAATATTTAACAAGCATTGGTGTGATGTTGTAGCCGTGATAGTCCAGGAATTAAGCGAGAGGCAAGAATCTTTGTGGGTGGTATCTTTTACTGGACCAACTGCACGGTTGGGACAAAGCCAGACAAGCTTTCAAATACATGGCATTCTTCATCAGCTCAGACCTGCTGCAGAATGCCTTGCATTTGAAAGTTTGTATAACTTTATCCAAACCAGGCAATCAATCTAATAAAAGATATCACACACAAAGATCTTGTTATTTATGCAGAGAGCAGAAGTGCTTCTATTATTATTATTAATTTATTATTTTTATTAAATGGCCATTAGTATAAAATCACAAGAGTCCACAGCCACAACCCAGTCCTAAACTGGATAGTGAGAATTAGTCATTGTATGCTCTGCAGACTAGTCATTAGCATTTACCAGGCCAACAAACAATCATTATTAATTTTAGAAATATAAAGATCACATCTTCTAGAGCTTTACCAGTGCAGGAGCCCTTCTAATGTCTACTTCAGATTGATTCCTTAACGACTGCACGTTGCTTCCATATGGAAGGCATGACAAATTCACCCTAACACCACTTTTTACCAACGTAACAACACACCAAAATAATTGTTCATGATATCTTACTTACTGCAAATCCTTTCCCAGGCTGTACTGTGGCAGGACAGGAAAGAAATTCTTGGGTCATCCTTCCTAAAACTCTGCATGAAACTGACTGCTTAAAAAATGTTATTCTATTGCCATTTTAAAACCTCTTGTGAAAGCGCCTTGGTGATGGTGACCTCTAAACAGATGGATTCTAAACTTTTAACAGCTTTGATCGCTACGGCATTTTTTTGGACAAACAACATCATTATTCCTCTTTTCAGAAGCCTGTTATAACTGTTACTACTGCAAAATAATCCCTCTTCCCTGCTTTATACAACTAATTGGTCGACCCTTTGCAAACCTGACAGAGGGGACATGTGTACTAGTATAGTGTTACATATTAGTCAAACCTAGGGAAGACTGATAAGTGAAGCTGTTGTCACTTCAGCCCCAAGGGACCCCTGGGAGGAAGAATAACAAGCTAAAAACAAATGAATTTATCCTGGGTCTAGGCTTTAGCATCAAAACAGGCCTGGGGCAGTCTTTTACATACTGACTTGGAATGGCAATTAACACCAATTAGCAGCCCCCACAACATTGTCTTGATGGAAAAGTGTTATCTCAGTACTTCTCAGGTATTTCACAGATACTTCAAGTGGAACAATGGGCTTGTAAGTCAGTAGAGCTAAAAACAGACGCTGCATCCCAGTGAAGCCCAGACATTACAGAAGGACAAGCCCACTGTCCCACATTAAATATTTGTGAATTATTGGAATAAACACTTTGCCTCAATCAGAACAATTAACTCAACTAATTTGAGTTAATTGTCATTTAAACCTTCTGTATAAACACTTTGGCCATCTGTTTTGATGCATCCTAGACCAACCAACACCGCACTTAACTGGTGATCTGCTTTTAGCCTAGAATCCCAGGAGAAAAGGCTTCATTCTGGGAGAAAGCAGAGGTCTGTTTTTAGTTGGAGAGAAAACAGCTAACAGCACTGGGCCGCTTGCTTCTGTCTGTTTACTAGCTTCTCAGTTCAGTTTAAGCAGTTTAGACTGGTCTGCAAAGATTGAATCGATTCAGCCTCTGGCTTTTTGACTGTCTGTACTTAGCCTAGATGCCTTGGGAACTTTGTATTCTGCAATGAAAGACTAAGTGAATTTTGTGGCTGTAGGAGCAGAGCCATTCTGGATTGCACTTTAGAAAGTGCACACCTCAAGTCTGTCATAGTCCTGTTTATATGCTTGTTGGATCAATCTGGATCTAGCCTGTAGACACATAGGCAGAAATCTACAGCAAAACATTTAGGCATATGTGCGAGTCCCATTTATATTATTTTAAAGCACATTAAATACCTTGCTGAATCAGGGTCTTTATAAAAGTGTGTTTTTTTCACTGAGCAAATCAATGGTGTTAATGGAAAACATGTGTCTAAGCAGAGTGTTAGAGGATGAAATAGGGTGGAAACTCCAGGTTTTCTCTCACCAAATCTACTAAAGCTCATCAGAGCCAAAGGCGGAACTCTCCCTCCAAATCCCATGAACATGACTCTTCACTCACTCAAACACTGGGTTGAATCAGGAGTAGCTACATTGACATAAACAGAGTTGAAAGCCTATAAAATTATTGTATGAGGAGGGGCAGGGACTGGACTTTCTGGGCCAACTTCAGCAGTGATGAGGTTACATATCAGTCATAAATTGTCCCCAAACCAGATTTCAGTTGTAGATTAATTCTGCTTTTCTTTTTCTTTTGAGCAACAGCCTGAACCAGTTGTGGTCAGATCTTCAGCTGATTTAAATCGGTGGAGCTCTGCTCTATACAATTTGGTTCCCACATAACAGAATTAATGTAAATTACACTCCTTTTGTGCTTAATCCATGGCATTAACAGATACTGTTTTTTGCATGATCCAGCTGTGAATCTGGGGGGGAGGGCACAAAATCATCACTGGCTTTGCCTTTTCATAAGCACACAAAGTGTAGTTTGCAATGGTTTGGTATTCCATAGAAACCTAATTCAGAGTAAGCAGATACAACTCTCATTTAATGGTTACCAAAGAAAACTACCACCAAAGGCCAGATTCTACTCCCAAATTACACTGGTTTACATCCCCACTAATTACATTATTTATATCTCCAGTGGAGGTTGGAGATTTATAGAAGTGTAAGCAATTTTAACATCTGGTCCCATGCATTCAAATTCTATTCTAAACTTTGGACCAAATTCTCATCTGATGTAAATTGGTGTCACTTCATTGAAATGTATGGTGCAAATTGGCATTATTCCAGTACAGTCCACAAAGCTTTGTTGATTTATACCTGGTAAATGTTCTGAACTTTCATGTTAGAACTATGGAAAACTATTTGAATGATAGAGTCCAGATGGATTTTGGAGGTGCTGTACCACTGAACTTTATAAATTGGCAATGTTTGTAATTAGGAATTCAGCTGAATTTGAGTCCCTGGGATTGTTCATGCTCCTAGTCTGAAGATTTGGGGTCAAATTCCCTATCACCCTCTAGCTGCTTCAGTGAGGAGTCTGGTAAAATCTCAAGGGGAAAAATTCTGTGTAGCATTCTATTTCACTGCTATCTTAAAATATATAGAGGAGGGAAAAGCTATTTTCAAAGCCCCATGGGTTTGGAACAGCAGCTGTTGCACCATGTCAAGGTGTATCAAAAGTGCTTTGGTGCAGAAAGCTTGTGCCAACAAATACAAAGAATCCTATCTGCAGGAAGATCCCTGGATTGTTTTTTTGTAAAGTCACTGCTCACTGTTGTAATTGAGAAGCAGCCATACACAT